GGGATGGTTCTGAACACCCTTTGTTAAATCATTCTGATATAAATTGCTCCAAATTGGTGAGTTTCTCCTGTTAGGGGCCATTTATCAACCTGCGTGGGGTCTTTTGATTTCCACTCTGAAGGCAAAGCTGCATTGGGTGAAGAAACTTGTTCAACAACTCCAACTAAAAATTTTGATCATATCCAATCCCAAGACAATTATTATTATTATTATTATTTTTTTTTTTTTGCTGTTCTGTAGGCTGTGTTCTGCCCTGAAGTTTCTTGCCTAATCTTTTTCCTTAGTTCATATTCCATTTTAGATGTCATTTGTTGAACCGGTGAGGTTTTGGGGCAAAATAGTCACTGTGACTCTCCATTCTGTCAATAAATCTCTGCCCCATAAATGTACAGGTATGGGAGCTATGTCAGGACAAATATATCCCAATTGTTCATTAGCTCCTTCCCAAGGCAAAGCCATGGAGCTTTGTAATTTAATTTTATACATGGGCCAATATTTGGAAATCTCGGGTGAAATAAATCTCTTCTTGAGGAATTTCAGGCTGAGGATGCTCTCGGGCATTTTAAAAACTAATGTTATTTAATTTTAGTTTAGGCAAGAGCAACAATGGTGCAATATAATCTCCTTGTTCCGTTATCCCACATCTTGTGAAGCTAACAGGAACACACAGTCAGAGGTATAAACAGAACCAATAATAGCTGGAATGACATTAATGCCTTTCAAAGTTAGAATTTCCCAAGTATCAAACCAGTTGTTCCAGGTGCTGGTGATATAGGGGGAACAGATGTAATTCCCAAACCTACTAGATATATGAAATATGAGTTCGTGCTCTCTAAAATCAAAGAATGAATTCTATGAACAACGGAGGTTAAGGGTAGGAAAATTTTATTTAGAGAAAGATAGCTTCTGTCTAAGAGACACAAGGGGGACTGGAAAGTGGATTGCCTACTAACTCAGCTTCTCAAAGGTTTTTTTAGGGGACAAAGCCCTGAAGTGAGGTGGGTTCTAGGTGGGACAAAACTGCAGTGAAGTAAGATCACAAGTACAGACACTTAGGTAATATTGATCCAAAGAGAAATCACAATGTGGTCAAAACTATGAACCATCAATAAGATTATTATAACAAGTATAGTTGCTTAGGTAATTTTGATCAAGTGGGGATCCAATGGGGAAACAAGTCACATAGCAAGCATACGAAGCATGAGCAAGGATTTTCATTGGTAAGGGGTGGGTCAGGGATCTTTCTTGGAAGATCATGGTCCCCAACCCAGGTGATTGATACCTATTTAGAATATCAATCACTGCTGTTTATCATACCTGGGTGTGATAGTTTCCGCTTCTTTTACAATGCTGGCCTTCAGTGACTGAGTCTTGATTGTCCTCCATGTTGGCTTCTCATGGGCTGACCCTAACTGCCTACAAGACATCTAATTAACTTATCTATCTGCAATAGTGGGGGTCGGTGAATTCTTGTGGGGACAAATATGGGAGTCTCGCCTCCCAGCAAGTGGACTTTCTGAGCAAGAGGAAAATCTACTCCTGAGCTCCTGAGTGTTTCCCTGACAAGGGAAGAAATGCCTCTCTGGATGCCCATGCTGCCTGACTTTGTACTTGTGCACAGGTCTGAACCAGGTACTGCTGACTCAGAGGGACTCATCCCCTGGCCTTGATCTCCTATTGTTTCCTGCCCCCACCCCGCAGCAGTGTATCATCCCAGCAGCAATGTACCATCCTTACCATATCTGGAGTGGCAGGCTTTAGCCCAGTGGATGACTTTTCAACGGTGAGGGCAAAGGCCAGGCAGTAACACTTTCTTTGGAAGCCTAACCCTGTGGCTTTGGGTTAGCCCGTAAAATACTTTCATTTTACAGTTTTTTCTGAGGTGCCCTATTTTTCACAGTCAAAACATTTTAAATCATTGTGGGTTTTTTTTTTTTTTGGTACCAGGATCCAACTTGGGTCCTTGCACTTGCAAGGCAGGCAGCGGAACCACTGAGCTAAATCCCCGGCCCCTGAAATCATTGTGTATTGTTGTGCCCAGATCACGATATCCCAAAGACCACCAAGGAGTCGAGTCCAGTGCAATCACACAAGGAGTTTATTGCAAGCTCGAGCCTGGACTCTCGGACCTCACCAACACAACAGTTCAATACCAAGAGCCCCAAACCTCATTTCCAAACAGGCTTTTTTATTAGCAAAGGAGCAGAACTAGAGGCTTTCTGGACGGGTCAGTGCCTGATGTTAACATTTTGAAAATGCAGGCAGGGGACAAAGGTCAGCAGTCACGTACTCAGAAACCACACATTGGTAATTAACAGATACCTATAGGATGGTTCAAAGGCCACCAAGACATTCAGGATGAGCAAACAGTTCGACAGTTAACTTGGGGTCTCTATGTATTTCGTAGTATAGAACCATTAACTTATATGTTAATCTGGATTTAAACAGTACAAGATTGCCTTACATTTTTTAACCAGGGTTAGAACAAAGGTCAGGGCTATGGCTACAATGGGAGGGGTTTTTTTCAGTAACAGGGTGGTGGCCTGATCACAGAATGGAGTAACTTTTTCAAAATGGAGTCAGTTCGGTCTCTACAGTATACCACATAAATGTTGGGAAATGGCTCGAGCCATCAGAGCTGCATGGTACTAATATAGGGGTAAGAGATGTAACCCCCAAACCTACTAGATATCTGAGTTCATGTTCTCTAAAATCAAAGAATGAATTCTAGGTAGAACGGAGGTTAAGAGTAGGAAAAATTTATTGAGGGAAAGAAAGCCTGTGACATCACTAGGAAGGGCTTGTGACATCAGAAATTGCTAGGAAGTAGCAAGTATCAGGTTGTCTTTTGGAGGGAGAAGAGGCATGATGGGAAGAAGCAGCCTGTCCTTTGTTTGGGAGAAGCCATATTTTAACATGGAGGCTGCTATTCCTTGTGGCAGCCATCTTGGGGCAAGGGAAATCTAACAGTTGACCCCCACTGGACACACCACCAGTGTGCCTCGTCTGAAAATCATCCTGGGAGACAGTGTGCTGTCTCTTTTACTCCAAGTTTGTCTCACAGGCAAGTTTGCCCATGGATTCAATTCACATCCACGTTGAGCGTCAAATATAGGGAACAGGGCAAAGGGACATTATTAGAATCTCTGCAGTGAGTCCTATCTCTTGTGAGCCATAGCAACACAAGCTGAATTAATCTATTAGAAAAACGAGACTTAAGAAGCTGAGCTTTGGGCCAGATCGTTGCTGCTCTGGGCAGCAACGACAAAGCTCCTGGGCTTGCCACACCTTTATTCAGTCCAGCAGGACAGGACAAACATGTAATAGATGACTCCGGGCAGAGAGTTCAATCTATCTGGAGAGTAACACATGTGAAAGGTGACTCAAAGGGGAGCTGTGGTGAAAATCTTAGGACAATGAGGAACTACTCATTTGCAGATTTGTTCCTCCCAGGATGTCTTCATGGTGTAATCTTGCCCTGAATTATCACAGCATTGCTGGACCATTGAGGGCTTAGCTGTGACCAGAGGTAAAAGTAGAGTTTGGTCTGGACATGCTGTAGCTGGCTTGTAAGCAGGAAAACTAGGCCCTAATCACGATTTAATTGTGAAATGATTTTTCCCAAAAATTATGTAGACTTGCTCCCAGCAGCAACTTAATAAGACCTCCCTCTCAAAAAAAATGTGGCCAAAGATGCACTTCACTGTGAAGGTTTAATTCCCAGTTCTGCAAAAACAAAAGCAAAAAACCACAATTGTATAAACTAATACACTTTACTGGAGGCTGAGTGTAATGTGTAAAACATTCTTAGCATACATGAGGCCATGGATTAAATAATACTAAATTATAAATTTACTCCATAATAAATAATAAAATAATTTATTAAATACTAAATAATAAAGTAATGTAGGGCCTATAGCAAATATATTAACCAATAACAGTATAGAGACATTGTTTAGGAGCCAAGGTGTATTGAACTAAAGAAGTGTGGTAACTCATATTCACAAGAATAAATTAAAAATGCCAGAAATGATAAATAAGATGGATGTAATGAAATGCTCCCTTCCTTAGCGTCATAGAAGGCAAACTTTTGTGAAGTAATACTAGCAATGTGTTGTTGGTTGCTAATACTTGTAGATGCAATCTGGTTTTTTTTGGTTTTTTTTTTTTTTTTTTTTTTTTTGGTATGGGGTTGAACTCAGGTCCTTGCACTTGCAAGGCAGGTGGGGGAACCACTGAGCTAAATCCCCGGCTGTACATGCAATCTGTGTAACAGTAATACTGCAAAAGCTGGGAGGGAATAGAGCTATAGGAGTCGCATATTTCACTGGAACTGAGTTAGTGTAAGTCTGAGGCTATCAAAAATTAAGATGTGTAAGGCCTGGGTATTTAGCTCAGTGGCACCATGCCTGTCTCCCAAGTACAAGGTACTGTTTGATCCCTCGTTACAAAAAAAAACCAAAACAACAACAAAAAAAGACATTTACAGTTAGCCCTTGGGCAATCACTCAGAAGATGTATTTAAAAATTGTTATAGGTACACACCTGTACACACCTGTAACTCCTAGCTGTTCATGAGGGAGGCCGAGGTAGGACTGCAAGTTTGAGGCCAGCCTGGGTAACTCAGTGAGACCTTGTTTCAAAATAGAAAACGTAAGAGCCGGGGATGTAACTCAGTGTCAGAGGGCCTTCAATTCAATCCCTGCTCCTCGCACATGCACACAGTATTAGGACTGATAGTGCAGCCTGATGATGGAGCGCTTGCTCAGTGTGCCGGAGGCCCTGCATTCAATCCCCAGCCCTGGGAGCCATGTGAGATAAAACTGGACCTCTCAAAATGACACCATCAAAAAACGCCAAGATGAGTGAGGCCCTGGCTTTGATCCCAGCACTGCAAAGAAGAAAAGGGGAGGTGAAAACAGAATGACATTGATGCAGATCCCTGGTTGCTCCAGAGCCTGAGTGTTGGATCCTCACAGGCCTTCCATGTCCTCTGTGACATGGGTATTGTCACTCTGAGCCTTGTCTCTGGCAATGGCCTGTGCTTAGATTTCCGAGTGACCTCTGAAGAACAGGATCCTGTGTAGGAAGGAGGGACCTTAACCATCTTCTCCCTGGCTGGGTCCCTGCACTCTTCTGCCCCATTGTCTTTGCTCGTCTCCCCAGGGTTTGTGTCAGAAACACCTGTTGAGGATCTTGGGGCAGCTGAGGCCAGATACTTAAGCAGTTCAGAAAATTCTGGAGGCTGAAAGGCAGTTAGACCCCTTCACTCCCAATCCTGGTGCTGGGGCTTGAACCCAAGATCTTGAGCGTGGCAGATGTGAGTCAAGTGCTCTATCTACTCCTGAGCTCTACTCACAGAATAAGGGTTTTGTTTTTTGTTTTAAGTAGGGCCTCCCTAGGTAGTTCAGGCTGGCCCTGAATTCACTCGCCCAGGCTGGTCTAGAACTCATGGTGATCCTCCTGCCCCAGACTCCCAGGTGCTGGGATTACAGGCCTGTGCCGCCACGCTTGGTAAGAGTATGGTCTTTTGGTCTGGCTCTGGCGTCTTGAGCAAGCATTGCACAACCGCAATCCTCAGTTTCCCCGGTGATCAGTGGCTCCTTCTGAGCAGTCAGTGTAGAAACCTCAAGAGGGCGACAACCCGTAGTAGCAACGCCCCAAGGAAGGCTTAGGCAGTCCGCTGAGCAGGGCCAAAAGCGAGTCCAGGGGTGGTCGCAGGGCGCCGGGCCGGCTCCACAGTAGCTGCAGAGAGAACCAGTGGCTGCTGCCAAGTCTGGCGCTGGGTGGGCGGAGCTCAAGCGGCTTCGCGGACACCCGGGCCGGGCCGGGCTTGGGCT